TGGAGGGAAGCAGCATGTCTGGCCTTGTAGGAATAGGCCTTGGGTTATTGATGATGACTCTGTCTTCCTCTTGTGGGGTTCTAAGAGGTCAGAACATGTGGCCTCTTTGACGTTTTTGCAATTCGGAACACATAATTTCAGTAAACTATATTGCTCTTCATCTCACCTACTTTGGTTATGCTGAAGAAGGGACCAGTCCCTGGAGAAAGATATCATGCTTGGTAAAATAGAAAGCGAAAAAGGGGAAGACCCTCAATGAGATGGATTGATACCAAGGCTGCAATGATGGACTCAAGCATAAAAAGTGTTGTGAGGATGGTGCAGGACTGGGCACTGCTTCCTTTTGTTGTACAGGGGGTCACTATGAGTTGGAACTGACTAGATGCCACCTAAGGAGCTCTGGTAGCATAGTGGCTAAAGCACTTGACTGCTAACCAGAAGGCTGGCGGTTCAAACCCACCGGCCACTCCTCGGAAGGAAGGTTGGGCAATCCTACTTCCATAGTGATACTGCCTCGGAAACCCAAGGAGGGGTGACTATGAGTCGGGGCCAACTCGACGGCACATAACAACAACAACAACAGATGCCACCTAACAACAACATACTATTTTTAAACATGACATAAGTAAAATGAGATATTAAACATTTTTACCAGAAATTCACATTTGTAATAATAAAACCATTGAATATTTAATCATAGGACCCAACTGCTATTAAACAGCATAATGTTGTTGTTATGTGCCATCGAGTCGAAGCCGACTCATAGCGACCCCTCCTTGGGTTTCCAAGGCAGTATCACTATGGAAGTAGATTGCCCATCTTCCTTCTGAGGAGTGGCATGCTTCTACAAATTGCAACAGTATAAATTCGACCTCTTTCTACACACAGAAACCAGGGTCAGCAATGTCTGGACATCCCTTTTATCTTAGCCAGGAGTGTTTCTAAAATGACTAGTCAATCCATCAGGGGTTCTGCCATGACCAGCTGAATGTAACAGGAGCCTTGAAGAACCTTCTCCAGATGTAAGTAAGCTTTGGAGTAACTTTCACATCAGTTAAAACAGGTTATTTTCTGTGTTTGAGAAATTTTTATCCATTACATTGAAAAATTCTCAGTAGAAATAAACCAAATGATCTAGAAATTTTTTTCCAGTGGAAAATATAAACCCCAAAACTTAAATACACACAACTCACAGGTTGAGCTTCTCTAACAAAAGCGAACACTTTAACATAAAATTCTAATTTGAAACTGGAGAACAGTAAAATATTACAGGGATTAAATACCAGCTCTAGGCACAGGTAGGGCACAAAGACCTAGATTGGGAATTTATGCTTTCCACACATCTGAAAGCCTTAAGGCAAAAGCCTTCGCTACTGGAGGGGAAAAAAGGGGGAGAAGGAATGGAGACCCCACAGAGGATACAGCTGGATTCAGTGTGCCTAGCTTCACACCTTTGGTGACATCAGGAGAGCACCAGTACCACCCAGGACCCCATAATCAGTCAGCGTCTCCACCTATGAACACCCTCCCTCCTTTTCTAAAAGCATAAGAGTGGGAAATGTAGTTTTAGAACTCAGAGAGAATGTTCCACTGCTTGCAGGAAGTCAAGAAAATTTTTAAGAAGTTGGAATTAGAAATACCATTTGATCCAGCGGGAGCCCTGGTAGCATAATGCCTAAGGCACTTGACTGCTAACCAGAAGACTGGCGGTTCAAACCCACCAGCCACTCCTTGGAAGGAAGATGTGGCAATTGACTTCCGTAGTGATACTGCCTCGGAAACCCAAGAAGGGGTTGCTATGAGTCGCGTCCGACTCGATGGCACATAACAACAACAACAATTTGACCCAGCAATCCCATTACTAGGTATATATCCTAAAGAACTGAGAGCCAGGACAAGAACAGATACATGCACACCCATGTTCACTGCAGCACTACTCACAGTAGCAAAATGATGGAAGCAACCTAGACGCCCATCAGCAGAAAAAAGTATAAGCAAATTATGGTACATACACAAGATGGAATATTATGCAACAGTAAAGAATAATGTAGAATCTACAAAACACCCTATAAAGTGTATGAACTTGGAGAACATTATGCTGAGTGAAATAAGTCAATCATAGAAGGACAAACATTGTATTAGTTCATTATTGCACAAAGTCAAAGAAAGGTTTATATATGGAAGGTAACTTTCTTTGTTGGTTACCAGGGGTGGGAGGGGAGGAGAGGGAAAAAAGAAAAGAAAAGAAATACAGAAAAAAATCTTTTAAGAGGCATGGGTCAAAGATGGCTCTGGAGGGCTCTCTCAGCCTCCACAGTCAGAAATGCTCCATTCTCAGGCTCTGGTCAGGAGACATTATTATTCAACACAAAGTACCAAGGCCCAGGGTGAGGATAGTAAAGTCCTGTGTTGTCAACTCTGAGAGTCACGTAAGGAAGGTGTCCCCAGGCATCCAAATCTGAAAAATCATACATGTGTAAGGGAAGGCCCCAGTGACAGTGGAGGAGGGCCTTAAGGTGCCACCTAAGGTTCAGTCTCTTGGCCTCTTTTCCTACCTTTTTCTTCCAGGAGGAAGCACCATCCCAAAGCACTCCCCTGGTCCACCAAAAATTCAAATCCAGTATCACCCATTTATTGGTAAGAATTACCATAAATAGTAACTTCATCCTGTTGTCCATAGGTTGCTGTCAGTCGATAGCACCTAACAACAACTGCAGAACTCACCATTGCCTGGGACACCTTCTGGAGGTCTCAGGGAATGTCCTCTCTGAGCCCAAGAAGCCACTTCAGGAAGAGGGAGGAGAGCAGAAGCACAGCACTGGGCAGTTCGGAGGCAGATGAATAACGTCTGCTCCACACACCAGTCAGAGCAGTTGAAATTCTGCCCTGGGATTTATGGATGTGCAAGATGGTGGCCCTGGGTCCCCAGCTGCCTGGACTGGACGAGTTCTCCGTGTCCCACACTGCAGACCTGAAATGGAAGAAGAATGGGGAGGAGACAGTGGTGAGTCAGCAGGAGTGACAGGTGACTGGCCTCCTCCCAGGCTCAGGGCCATGTTCCACCCTGAGGGCATCTGCACTGAGGCAGAACAGACTCCAGCCTCCCCAACACACGCCTGCATTCACCACACAGCTCCCCGGGATCTTCTCTCTGCAACAAGTTCACAGATGGAAGAATTCATTTACCGCAAAGTAGCACAAGCAAACAATTCGCTACTATTTACACCAAGTTCCTGTCAACCTAAACCGGATTCACGTCTTTCTGGAAACTAATGACAATTAAAGAAATGAGTGGGAGTAACTGAGGGGGCAGAATGGGCACTCTCTGAGGTGACATTTTAAGTGAGACCTGAATTATAAAAATTACCAAATTCCGACGCTGGGCTCAGACGTATCAAGGATTATCAAGGATTTCGTGAGGCTGGGGCAGCACGGGGCAGTGTTTCGTTCTGTTGCACATGGAGTCGCTGTGAGTCACAGCCGAATGGGCAGCACCTGACAACAACGGGAATTTGCTCTGTGAACTTTCACCCGAATCACAATTTGGTAAAAAAAAAGTTGTAACTGTCATCAGAAGAAATACCTGGTACAGAGACTAAAAAGGCATCCTAACACAGCAGGGGGTTACAGATTTAGAGACACAGTTCACCTCCGAGGTTCAGCGTCCAGGAAGCGGCTGCGGCCGCCCGGCACGGATCGCGCGGGAAGCGGTGGCGGTGGCGGCGTCCCGGTGACAGGAGGTCCCGAGGCTCCGGGAGGCGGAGAGACCCAGAGTGAGCGGGAGAGCGGGGGCAGCGCCTCGGACCCAGGACCGGAGCCTGCGGGACACCTGCCAGGGAGACTGACACAAATCTACCTGCCACCACAGCGCGATAAAAACCCACCACAAACACCAACCCGAATGGAGGACTCATACTTCCGCTTCCGGTCTGGGCCTCTCGGTGCCATAGGGGTGGGATTCCGGGCGGGAACACCAAACGCTGTGAACTGGTAACCACGTAGCTCAGTGCTTCCCCCTTGTGTTTGGTATCTGACCGGTCGTTCTTATTTCTTCTATAGGGGAAAAACAAAAAAAAAAAAGCTTAGGTTTGTTTTTGTTTTTTTTTTTTTTTTAACAGCGGGTCTAAACTGAAATATGCAACCATTTTTGCGAAAACCAAGTGGAGAAAGTTAGGAAGCGGTGACAGGCTTCCTGGAACTTTGTGACCACACAATTAACCACAGAATTTCCAAGAACAATGGAAACTCAAGGAGGGGTCGCTATCAGTCAGGTCTGACTGGAAGGCACATAACAGTAACAACACAAAGTATATGTAGAGTACAAGTGTAATATTAACATAAACAAGAAATATGGATTGTAGAAACAAGTGTTTAGTATAGATAGTAAACAAGTGTGGTGATAAAAGTTGATGGGAGTAGTCAAGGGTGTAGACATGCTAACAGAAGTAATCACAAAAGACAGAAAACATCTGGCATAGAAAAACAAAATGGGAAATGCTGACTACATAGTATATGAGGACCAACAGAACTGCAGTTAATCTTTCATCGCCTATGCGAGAGTCTGACTACCTCCGTGGAGTGGCTAAGACCTATGTTGTCCATCGCTGTTCCCATGTTTGGTGGAGGAGACTCCATTTCAAGGGGAGCAGTGCTGAGAGTGATATCACTCTAAACCCACACATCTGCAGACTGGTACTCAGTCTGCTTGGAGCACCCAAGGTGTCGGTGAGGTAACGGCCATTGGTGACCAATGTGAGCAGCAGCTGACACTTTCTGGAGACTCCCAGTACCAGGGATCAGTCATCAGCGGCAGGTCGTCTGGGGTAACTGGGTGCAGGTTTCACTAAGCTTCCTTTCATGGAGTGTAATAGAGTAATCATAGATATTGCCACGACCAAGTTGAACAAGGTGTCACTACACACCTCATCACAAGAACTGCAGACATTGGGATGGTCCACCAAATCATCCCTGATGATAAATACTAACTCCATGTATCTACTCTTGCTTGCCCAAGTCCTTCAGGTGTGGAGGCACCCACCCTTGTTCATAGTCTTATATATTAATAAACCTGACATTGTGGAAAGACACAAATTTTGAGTGATCATTCATCACCACCTGCTCAAAACAGTGTATAATGTCTTCTAATCTTAAGTGTGCAAGGTGATGAATTTTTACATCTAGATAACTCATATGTATCTGGATAGTCTATGTCCTCCTCTGAGATGCATTTAAGAATATTTTCCAACACACAGAAGATTGATTCCCTCCTGCCTTTTCCCAGTTGATAGTTCCTCCAGAAATAACCTGTGTTCTGATTATTATTGCTAGAAATAGGATTTGTGCATTCTTCAATTTCATTTTATCAGAATAATAACGTATGATATATATTGTGCCTGAGTTCATCTAGTCAGCATAATGTCTGTGAGATTTGATCTGTATAATGTATCTATAGTGTTGCACATAGCAATGATTTTGTTGTTATTGTTCTTGATGTGTTTGATCCAATGAATGAATATGCAACAATATTTCTTTTTCTTACATATTCCAAAAACAAAGTTTTTTTTAGTTTTCTTTTACATTGTATTGTGATGTTGGTGAAAGTTTACAGACCAGTTTGGTTTCCCTATAAAACAATTCATGCACAGTTACTTTCATGATATTAGATGCAATCCCCTCAATGTGCCAGCTTCCTCCTCCCTTTATGCTTAAGTTCCCTGTTTCCACTGGCCAATCTTGCCTGCCCCTGCAAGCCTCCTGGACTTTGCTTTTAGGTAAATGATGCCCTGTTAGTCTCCTACAAGCCATTGCTCTGAAGTATAGTTTCCTTTTGAGTGTTAAGGGTTACTTTATAAGCCTGCCTATTGTTTGGCTACAATGTGATCCCTAGCAGTGGGTTCAGTTCCAAATTTGAAGGCTGTCCAAGGGCCATAGTCTCAGGGGTTCCACAAGGCCATTTATCGTTATGAATTTTGTTCTATGTTTCTCTCCCACTCTGTCCAGGACCTACAACGTGGTCCCTGTCAGAGTATTCATTAGTGGTAGCCAGGCACCATCTAGTTCTTGGCTCAGGCTTGGGGAGCCTGTGATACATGTGATCCATTAGTCCTTTGGACTAATTGTTTCCTTGAGTCTTTGGTTTTCTTTAGTCTTCTTTGTTCCAGGCTCTAAGACACCTATTGTTGTATCGTACATGGCTGCTCACAGCTTTGAAGACCCCAGTTGCTATTTATCAAGATAGCATGAAGAACTTTGATGGTCCGTGTTAACCCAATGGTCTTGGACGACCCCTGAGACAATGGTCATAAGCTCTTAAGTCTAGTGATTCAATCCTGCAGGGTTGGTTATGCCTAAGTACTTTTCATGACTGTGCCCTTGTGTGCTCTGTTACATAGATGGGTATGTTTGCAGTACATATAGATGTGTATGAAGAAATGTCTACTGCCAAATTCATCTGTCTTCATGGGTGTACTCCCTTACATCATCCCACACTTGTTCACCTTACATATCCACCTATGGATCCACTCATAAATTATTGTTTGTTATTTCTGTGCTTGCAGGATTGTATATGTAATGTTGTTGTTGTTATTATGTGCTGTCGAGTTGGACCCGACTCATAGCGACCCCTCCATGGATTTCTGAAGCAGTATTACTGCAGAAATAGATTGCCCAGCCTTCTTTCTGAAGAGTGGCTGGTGGGTTTGAACCACCAACCTTCTGGTTAACAGTCAAGTGCCTTAGGCACTATGCCACCAGAGCTCCCTACTCGAAGAATATATGATTATAATTGAAAATGTCTGTGATTAGTCTCTGAAGTCAGTCACGGTAAGCCTCTGTACTGCATAGCCCAATAGAAACCCATTTCCTGCCCCTCACTCATCTTCCTTGTGACATCAAATAAAGATTAACCAACCAAACAACTGCATTATACTTTCTTTGTTCCCTTCACTCTGTCTTTGTAAGCAGCGCTTTAGTGGAAGTCATCAAATCTCCCTTACCTGAACTAGTGTCTGCCTGCAGTTCAATGTATGTTTGTTTATTCTTTTATCACCGCCTCCCCCCACCTATTTTAAAGGGTTTTTTTTTTTGTTTTGTTTTGTTTTGTTTTTTTCACTATAACAGTTTGGGAATTTTCCAGGATTCCAACAGCAGCTCATCTACAACGACCCAAAGACTATGAACCAGAATCTTTGGGGCAAAACAGAAAACTCATCATTGTGCTTCCTTTCCTTACACCAAGGCCTTGGATTCTCCAATTTGGAGATAAGCACTTCTCAGACAGAACCTCCACCCTTATGTGTAAAGGTTTTTCAGGAATTATTCAGTCTCGACTTTCTTTTCTTTCTATTAATTTCAAAAATGTCTTGTTTCAGCCTTGTTAGTTGTTAAAAAGGAAATATTCTCTTTTTCTTTTCTGTCCTTTCCTTTGGAGGTATGATAGTTAAGATTGTGTGTCAACTTGGCTGGACCATGATTCTGAGTGGTTTAAGAAACTGTGGTGTGGTGTTTCTATAATGTGATCTGATGTAAGGTCACCTCCATGCTGGGATATGCTGTGAGAAGCCAATCAGTGGAAAGGGAGTTTCCTTAGGGGAAAGCAGTGGCCTGCTTCCGGTATATAACTATGTGGGCATCTTGGGGAAATGATGGTACTTTCTGGGTCCTCCATCTAGCTTACCATCATCCAATTTTTTGAGCTGATCCAGTGGTCTGCCATATTGCCTCCTGATTTTGGGATCGTTCCTTTGCAGGCTGGGAGTCAGCATTCCACCACTTTACCTACCAATCTTGGATTTGTGATCCTTTGAAGCTAGCAGCCTGCTCTATTGCTGTCCAATCTTGAGTTCATTAGCCATTGCAGCCACATGAGTCAGAAAAAGCCTGCAGCTTGAGATTTGACCCACAAATGTGGATCTTGCCAGTCTCAGCAATTGTGTGAGACATTTCCTTGAGATAAATGTCTCTCTCCCATTCCCTCTCTCTCTCTCTCTCTTTCTCTCTCTCTCTCTTGAGTTTATTGGCTTTGTTATTCTTGAGAACCCAGCCTCAGATAGGAGGTGCATTAAGCTTCTGCACCTCTGATGTATATGCATGTTTACTTGGTGAGATAAGTGATATTGACTGCCAAGAACTGATGGGTGTTCCTGTTGGAACCCCTGCCACTTTCATAGTGGAATGCTATGTCCCTAGAAGTTCATTTCATCTGACACCCTGATATCAAATGCAAGGATGTCTTGAAAACCAGTTGTTTTTATGGGGAATTTTTTAAATTAAAAAAATTCATACTTCTGTACATCCAATAAGGAGCTGTGATAGTGTAGTGGGTAATGTATTTGGCTATTAACCAAAAGCTTGGTGTTTTGAAGCCAACAAGTACCCCATGAAAGAAAGATGAAACAATCTGCTTCCATGAAGTTTTACTGTCTTGGAAACCCAATGGGGGTTGCTGTGAGTGAGAATCAACTCGATGGCAGTGAGTCTGATTTGGTTTTGTGGTGCAGCTAATTGGAATCTAGAGTTCTAATATGAGAAGAAAGGAAAGGTGAGACTTTCTTTCTTTCTTTTCTTTTTAAATTTTTATTGTGACTTGGGTGAAAGTTTAAAGAGCAAATTTATCTTCCATACCACAGTTCACATACACTTTGTCTCACGATATTGACTGCAGTTTCCCACAATGCAAAAGCTCCCCTCCCACTTCCTTCCCCATAGTTACCTCTTCCCTGTGTCCTTCCCTCCCATGCACTCCTGTCCCCTGAGCTGTCCCTGTGCATACACAATCCTT